TCACTTCCGTGTTGGTTTCAAGAGAGACCGGAAGGTTGCCGCTTGGTGTTGTACTCATAACTGAACTTTAAATGGAAAAAAAAAAATGTGTAATACCCTCTACAGTACTTTGCGGTTGAGAGCAGTTCCATTCCCATTACCAGATAGTGATGTGGCCAGTCAGGATTCTCTTTACAGCATGTGTAGAATGATAGCAAGAAGAAGAGGTGCTGGTGGTCACTTTGTTTTGACCACATGAGATCCTCAATGATGTGTACACTGAGTAATTTGAAGCTCCTGACCCTCGTCAATTGTGTTTTGTTTATAGGAATATACTCGCTGTTCAGTCACGTAAAGTTCGCAACTAGTTCCTTCCTCTTGCAGAAATTGAGAAAGAGGAGTTTCCTGTGTTTTCCTGTGAGCTCCAGTGCTGAGGAAATTCTTAATCAATTTATCATTCTTATCACCTGAGAAAGGAAATTTGTCAGAGTGACAGGACATCAGTCATCTAAGTATATGATTTTAGATTGCTTCGGGGCAGGCACAAGAGTGAATATTTTGAAGCATGACTGCAGACAAGGAAAGAGAGGGGTTGAATATGTCTGAAAACACCAGCCAACTGGGTCTCAAATGCTCAGAGGACAGAGAAGGGAATGCATTTTGGACCTGTGGCTTTGTGGATATTCACCCGCTTCAGGTTACATTGGCTAGGAAGCTTTGCCTGCAAAAGCTTTCTCCATGAGGGTGGCATTGTTCTAAGCACTGTTGAGGGCAGCTTTGCTCTCAATGTGAGCAAAAGTGGTCTTGAGCTTGTCCAGAGGAGTTACAGCAGTGTTCACAGCAAAGATCACAGTCCGTTATGTTGCTTATTCCATGCTACAAGCTTCTAGTGTTGGTGGATTTGACTCCAATTTGCCTATGTGCTGACGCTTGTTTGCTCTGATAGATTTACTGAGAAAATAACTGAAACACTTCCAGAACATGTCCCAGTCTAGGACCGGAGGTACTGACATGATGGGGTCGGCTCTCCTTTTGCATTTTTGAATTTGCAGCTGGACAATCTATATAAGGTCTCCGATGATATGTTTGTAAACAAAGGACTGGTATAGAGGAACACAAAGTCTGGTTTGTGATGAGCAACAGAAGAACCAATTTCCAAAAGTGTTGAAACTTCCAGTAGGAAAAACAAGAGCATTTGTAGCCAAACAACCAAAGCCATGTATTGTCAAAGCTTGCAACACAGCTGTCTTTTTTTTTTGGTGCCATCTTGGATCGAGTTGAAACCGGCATGGAAATTGCAGTTGCACAGCAAAACACCATATGATGTGCCAAGCACACAAAAAGCAAGTGAAAATAAAATCTAAATCTTTACTGCTGAGTCAGTTCAGTTGCAGTTAAGATCTCTGAAACATGGATTTAAGACATTTTAATACCAATTTTATTTAACACCCTATTTTTAAATTAGGACTTTAAGGGTCCACAGACACCTTGATTTATCACTTAATATAATTTAATCAGGAAATCAGTTCTATTTTTGTGCCGCTTAACAAAAAAATGACTATATTTAATCATAATAGAAATACATAATCAGATAATTCTGATATTAATCTGAATCATCTTGCGAAAGCAGGTGTACAGTGCAATTTTGAGTGCTTCATCACAGTTTTATTAAAATTATATTTTATTTGTAGTAGTAGTAGTATTATATTTTTATTTAATGCCATCTCATCATCATAGGCTATTTTCATGGCAAAAACCATTAAAAAAATACAAGTATAACAAATACAATAAAAACCAGCAAACAAACTAACACAAGTTATATTACACAACATTTGTTATATTTTATTTGGATTTAATATATATAAAAACAAATAGATGTGCAATAGATTAAAAAACATCCAGACTTGACATACCTTCAATAAATCAGCAGTCTGAATTTGGTGAATGTGTGATTTGACAGTATGAAGGTCTGCTGGGAGCTCACCTCGACACATCTCAAGAATCATCTAAAAGATAAATTATAGTGAACATAAACAAAACATAAAACGAATAATACATGATGCACAGCATCTAAGTTTTAAAGTTAACTATATCTTCAAGTGTTCTTTGCAATATATGAACTCTGGTCTAGGACAACATTATTTATACACAACAATGAATAATTAAGAAAAATATACTTTATGAAAACAGGACATTTTTAAGCATGCACTTAAAAGCTGACAGTGAAAAATTTAACCGACATTTCACATTTTGAAAATTTGTAACTTTAGCAGTATTGTGCGCAAGTTATTGTGAAAATATTAAGTTTTTTTACTTCAAAGGCTGCGCAACTCCAGAGGTCGCATTTGTTGGCTGCATACATCATCATAGCGGTCTCATTTCAAAGCAACAATTATAAAATAGGAGTGGGTGAGTGGTCTGCCATATTTTACCATATATTTATATTTTTTTGCATTTAAATGAGGGTAAGACGGAAGCAATTGTCCTTGGGTAATGGAAAACCAAATTTTAATTGTGGTAATCTAAACTCTTATATCAAAACAACTGAGAAAAATTTGGGAGTTCTTTTTGATTCCTCCCTTAAGTTTGACCAACATATCAACTTAGTAGTCAAGTCATGCTTTTTCCATCTTAAACTTCTGTCAAAAGTTAAATCTTTTTGAAAGAGTCATACATGCTTTTGTTTTATCACGTTTGGACTATTGTAACTCCTTGTATACAAGGACTACCCCAATCCTCCATGTCACGGCTTCAAATGGTTCAAATGCTGCAGCTAGATTTTTAAAAGGGGTTCGTAAGCGAGAACACATTACTCCGATTTTAATGTCTCTGAATTGGTTGCCAGTGCGTTATAGTGCGAATTCTGTTGTTTGTTTTTAAGTCCTTAAATGGTCTGGCACCTTCTTATTTGTCAGATCTTGTAAAAGTAAATAAGTCAGCCAGATGTTTGCGATCCTCAGACAGTATTACTCTGTCATATCCAAGACCAAGACTGAAGTTGAAAGATGACTGTGCGTTTGCAGTAGCCAGTCCTAGGCTATTGAACAGTCTTCCCTTATCTGTGAGATCTGCATATTATGTACAGTATATGATTTTAAATCTAAGTTACAGTCTCATCTGTTTACCCTTGCATTTAATAAATTATAGACTAATTCTTGGTCTCTTTTTAATGTATATTTATTGTATTATTATTTTTTTTTCTATTTTACCTTTTTCTTCTGGACAGCACAGTGGTCAATTCTTGTTGTGTTTATTTGTGCTTTATAAGTAAATAAATGAAAAAGAAAAAAAAAGACCTCCATGAAAACAGTAACAAATACAGTACATAGACACATCTTACCTTTGCCCGCAGCCCCACTATTAAAGTGGCCCTCTGTCTCCTACTTAAAAGCTCTGGCACAAGGTTTGTCATCACAGAAACAAATTCTTCCAGTTTTCCAAATTGCTCCACATTTTGATCCTTGACAACTTGCCACATGAAGGCGGATGTGAGGCGTAGAGGAGAAACCAGCAGGCGAAGTGAGGAGAGAGGAGGGGCAGACTCTACAAAGACATAGATATACAAATATTTACGCATATGTATATCTATATATTTGCATTTATTCATATAGAGTGCCATTCAGATATCTGAAACCATATTTTAAATATTCACATTCCACATTCAAATAATTTAAACCTGTAAATAAAAGTTTCAGGATTTTTAAAAATGTTAATACTGAAATCAACAATAAAAAATTACATGAAATTTTTTGACATAAATATACATGTGTGTTTATGCTGTGTTTTGCATATACACACATACACGTATATTAATTTATATGCAAAACAATGCAACAAAAGCGCAAATAAAAATTAATAATAGCGTTACACGCAAGTAAATAATCTATCAGCCTCATCCAGCATGAGGTTCTAGCTGTGTACATCAGAGCTATGATACTCTACTCAAAAGCCCAGACATGTGAAATACTATAGGTGTGGTCATTACATATCTAACGACAAATAATATAAATGACTATAAGGTAGATGACTATACACACCCATTGCTTCTTTGTTTGAATATATTTGGATTGACAAACAGTCTTGTTTCCAACTTCGTCCGTTGACTCGTTCCGTTACACACTGCGCATGCGTCTAACAAGTGAGCTGCGCGTTAGAACGGCAAACAGCAAAAGGTAAACTTTTAGAGGGGCGGGGCTCATCGGTTTGAGTTTTGTCTGTAGATGGTCAGAAACTATAATTGTAAATAATAATTATCCCGTTTTTAATCTTCACTCTGTATTTGTTTTTAATAAAGGTAATCTGTGTCATTACTCGGATAGAAATGATTGTCAAGACCACTGCTGAAGCAGCACGAGGCTGAATTCAGCTTCTTATTGACGCTATCCGTTCCACCTTAAAAACGCGACGCTTCAGCGTTTCTAGCTTCACGCTCAATTTAGGGACCGTCTCTATTTGCGTCTCTTTTTCAGAAACGAACAAGTAACTATTTAAAAATTTAAATAACATGGAGACAAGAGCGAAAACGGGCTGTCAACATTAAATCTAATTACATTATACGTTAATTATTAAACGTGCATGTCATCCTTTGAGTGCAGTAATGATTTTTTTTTTTAAACGCGTTTTTAAGGTGGAACGGAAAGCGTCAATAAGAAGCTTCGAATAAGAAGCTGAATTCAGCCTCGTTGAAGCAGCGGTGATATATGAGGCTTGTGATATACGTTACTTTTCTCAGCACACCTCAAGGTGGACCAATCACAGTGATTTGTGATTATTGGATTCGGATTTCTTTAAAAACATTTTATACAGATAAATGGAGCAAGTATACATGTGATTGGCAGGTGGCAGTTTGGGCATGACTCTTATTTGAAAGATTATTAGTTTTAGTGTACACACATCTCTGTTGAGAATTTTAAAAAACCTGTTGATATTTTAATACGGTGCAATGGACAGCCTGCCTTTATATGCCATCATGCACCCCCTGGAGGACTTTATGTTCTCTGTGAACATCACACATGTGTCTTTAAGCCTCCCTAATTTCTTTCAGTGGTGTACTGCGCACAACGAGAGTATACTGCCATCTTTCGTTCAATAGGCCTATAAGTCTATACAGCTGTGGTCAAAACTTTACATACACTTTGCAGTATCTGTATGAGGGATCATAGAAAATGTGTGGGGGGTTTTTTGTACTGATCTGAATAAGATATTTAACAAATAAATATGTTTAGGCCTACAGTACATAGCCTATAGTCCACAACATGTCCAGTACATAGGCCTACGCTTTATTCTTAATACTGTGTTAACTGGATGATTCACAGCTGGGGGTTTTTTTGTTTTTTTTTGTGATAGTTGTTCATGAGTCCCTTGTTTGTCGTAACCAGTTAAACTGCCTGCTGTTCTTCAGAAAAATCCTTCAGGTCTCACAAATTCTTTGGTTTTCCAGCATCTTGATTTTGAGATCCATCTTTTCACACTGAGGACAACTGGGGGACTCATACGCAACTATTACAAAAGGTTCAAACAAACACTACTGATGCTCCCGAAGAAAACACAAAGCATTAAGAGCCTGAAAACCTTTTTAATTTGAAGATCAGGGTAAATTTAACTTATTTTGTCTTCTGGGAAACAAGTTTCTTCTGTAGCTTCTGAAGGGCAGTTCTAAAAAAAAAAAAGAATAAAATAAAAGATATTTATGCAAAACAAGAAAAATGCATACATCTTCATTCTGTTCAAAAGTTTACACCCCTGACTCTTAATGCATCATGTTTCCTTCTGGAGCATCACTGAGTGTTTGAACTTTTTGTTGTAATGAGTCCCTCAGTTTGAAAAGATGGAGCTAAAAATCATACAGTCATTGCTGGAAAGGGTTCAAATATGCAAAAGATGCTGGAAAACCAAAGAACCTGACCTGAAGGATTTTTCTGAAGAACAGCAGGCAGTTTAACTGTTTAGGACAAACAAGGGACTCATAAACAACCATTCAAAACACACACATGCACACACCTAAAACCTTAAAAATTAGACTTCTGGTTCCATCGTCCTGAGGTCAATGGATTTTATTGAATGGACATTTGGTTAAATGCCTGAAATAAGGTCTGTGGTTAACACAATTTCAAGATATTTTCGCATTTTGTGTAACAAGAAATACACCAGTAATACCCCACACATGATTCTTTTAATCTGTCTTGAAAAAGGCGGTTGCTAACAAGTGGCTAAAAAAGACTGCAGAATTTAACTGTCATCATGCCAGAAAGGGCAAAACACTAGGTATTGCCAATGCCATAATGGATCAGGTCACGCTAAGAGAAAAGACTTTTGTAGAAGATGTACAGTAAATCTGCTTAGTTCTATTTTATTAAAATTACAGAGGCCAGGGGTTTAAATGCACATTAGTAAAGGTAAAATTAAGCTTTGCGAAGCAAAAGGCTTTTCAACACAGTGTTACCATCTGGTGATAACTGGCAAGGCGATTAATTTCTGTCTGTGAATAAATGAAATCAAATTAAATGAACAACTGACGTCCAAAAGAAATTATTCCCTGTTACTGTCTGGCCGAAAGAGAAGTCAAAAAGTAAGTCATGTGTTGTGACTGATCGCAAACATTGACATTTAAATGAACTGCATGTTATAGGATGTCATAGGTCAATAGTTCAAATGAGTGTGAAGTTTAAAATATTGTCAGTCCAGTGGCATTTATTTGTTATCTTTTTTATTATTTATTTGTATAATATGGGTGGTCTTTAAAACTGTATTTACATGAAATGTTGTTTAATCTGTAATGTGCAATGTTTTGCAGGTGCTGGTGTCAGGTTACAATGTGCTGTCCTTATGATTACTTATATTCTTACCTTTTAACACATATGTTTATTTATTCATACCACAACCCAAAATAATTCTGTCTTAATATGACTATTATACTATAAATTATCTTAAAGTGTGTGCTAGATTCTTTAGTGCTTCCCTTCCTTAGCAGTGCAGCGTCAGTGCTGAAATGTGAAATTATTTAGTGTGGAATATAATTCAGTGAGGAGTTTTCTTACATAAAATCCTTCACATGTAAAATAAGTAAATATTACAAATGTGACACAATGAGATGGATTTCTTTTTTCAGATGAAAGCTTTACAGTTCTTGGAGGTACATTTATTTTTTTTTTAAATTAAACTACAGAGGCCAAGTAAAACATCATTATTCAACATCAAAGAAAAACAATCTAAAAGAAATGCATGTAAACAAACTGAATTTTCTCAAAATAATACAGCATTGGACACATTCCCAAAAAAGTTGGGGGGCAGACTCATCCACAATATAAGAAGTGCACAGTGAAGATGTTTTTAAAGATTGAAAGAGTTGTCAGAAGCTTTAATGGTGGTGTCGTTTAAGTTACACAACTGTGGTGTAGTTTGCATATAGCTCAACTTTAGCTTTTACTTTAGTGATTGTTGCCGTGTCAAACAACCATTCAAAACACACACATGCACACACCTAAAACCTTAAAAATTAGACTTCTGGTTCCATCGTCCTGAGGTCAATGGATTTTATTGAATGGACATTTGGTTAAATGCCTGAAATAAGGTCTGTGGTTAACACAATTTCAAGATATTTTCGCATTTTGTGTAACAAGAAATACACCAGTAATACCCCACACATGATTCTTTTAATCTGTCTTGAAAAAGGCGGTTGCTAACAAGTGGCTAAAAAAGACTGCAGAATTTAACTGTCATCATGCCAGAAAGGGCAAAACACTAGGTATTGCCAATGCCATAATGGATCAGGTCACGCTAAGAGAAAAGACTTTTGTAGAAGATGTACAGTAAATCTGCTTAGTTCTATTTTATTAAAATTACAGAGGCCAGGGGTTTAAATGCACATTAGTAAAGGTAAAATTAAGCTTTGCGAAGCAAAAGGCTTTTCAACACAGTGTTACCATCTGGTGATAACTGGCAAGGCGATTAATTTCTGTCTGTGAATAAATGAAATCAAATTAAATGAACAACTGACGTCCAAAAGAAATTATTCCCTGTTACTGTCTGGCCGAAAGAGAAGTCAAAAAGTAAGTCATGTGTTGTGACTGATCGCAAACATTGACATTTAAATGAACTGCATGTTATAGGATGTCATAGGTCAATAGTTCAAATGAGTGTGAAGTTTAAAATATTGTCAGTCCAGTGGCATTTATTTGTTATCTTTTTTATTATTTATTTGTATAATATGGGTGGTCTTTAAAACTGTATTTACATGAAATGTTGTTTAATCTGTAATGTGCAATGTTTTGCAGGTGCTGGTGTCAGGTTACAATGTGCTGTCCTTATGATTACTTATATTCTTACCTTTTAACACATATGTTTATTTATTCATACCACAACCCAAAATAATTCTGTCTTAATATGACTATTATACTATAAATTATCTTAAAGTGTGTGCTAGATTCTTTAGTGCTTCCCTTCCTTAGCAGTGCAGC